TCTTCCGCAATTGAAGGAGCTTCGCTGCCCTCGTGGTCTGTTTTCCCCAGACACTATTGGCAGGATGCCGGTTGATTTGAGAAGTTGAGAAGTTGTGCGCGGTTTTTCTACCTTTGATATGTGCTCATGCGTCTCTCGCTGCAGCTTGATCTCTGCAGACTTTTATCGCTTTGACTTTAGACGTAGCTGTTGTTTGTGCGTGGGTCTTAGCCCACATGAGTCAGCTTCATTCGCCAGGATGTTACGACATTTCACCGTACTTTTGGATGCCATGGTCAGGCGGCCCACATTGTTGTGCTCAAGATGCAAGCAAACTTGCGCAACAATCCTTCTACTGTGTCTTGTTTCTGTGCAGGTCACCAACAAGTGCCCTTTGCCAGCTTTCTCTTCATGAGCCCGGTTCACCCGACGAAGCCGAAGTGTCAAAGTGGGCAGATGCATACAGCTGCCTATCTACAAGATTTGTTCTCTTGAATTGTGAAACCTTGCTGACTTGATCCCTCAGGCTCTTCTTGTTATAGTCCGCAAGCAGAGACACATTTTTCCCCAGACCAGTCTATGACATCTTTGCTCCTTGGATACATACTATGCGCCAAGGGCAATGCAGGCGGTCTCGTGATTGCCTGCTGTCCAAAACCTATCCTGGGCCGGCCCAGGATTGCAGCGACTGCAGCAGCATCGCCTGATGCACTGGCTATGGTTGACGATGGCACCGGAGCAACATACACCTATGAGGTCTTCTTGCAGATTCTTGCATTACTTTACAGTACCATAAAGCATCCGTTGAAGAGCTAACCGCTGTCCTCACCACGCGGCAGGAAGTGGTGAAGATGTCAAGCACCTCGGCTCAAACAGGAAGAGCCAGGAAGCCAGTGGTTCAACCTGACCGGCTCATAGAAAGTGGAGAAGGCATCAATAGATGACGGTCATTCTGAAAAGGGTGTTTCTATGAGCAGTTATCTGATTGATTTGTATTGATTTGGCGTTTCATGCATTTCAGGGATGGAGGCGGTAGCAGCCCTTTGGCCGCGTAATATGCTTGCGCCTCGCTTCAAAGGCTCTTTGGCGCACGCTTTGTGGAGCTCGGGAGAGTCTTGTCAGCACGTATGACCTGGGCCAGCTGCAGAGTCAATTTGAGGAAGACTGAAGCTTTCTGAAGTCGTGCCGCAATCTGCAAGAGATTGAAATACGTTCCCATGTGCCGCGTCCGCTGAGGTTTCAGTCGACGCTCTGGTCCCTCTCATGGCTTCGAGAGGTGTCGAGATGATTCTGGGCATTCTGGGCATCATTCGAACTGGAAGCGGTTGAGCTCTTAGTATTCGACATTTTTGACAGCTTCTCCAGTAGGAACTCCCCAGATAGTTTAGCCATGTCTCGCCAGCAAGCACTTGAACTTGTGAGGTTACGTCCCATTAGATCTACACTGGCCAGACGATCGGCTTGAAGATGTCCTGCTCCAATGTGGATCCAAGGCGACTTGCGGGGAGAATGGCGGAAATGCAGTCTCGTTAGGATGCGTAGCGCAGAGCCCAAGCAACTGCTCTGAGGTGGTGCTTGCTTCGTCTGATTGCCACAAGAAGCTTTCGCAGATTTCTATAAAGGCATTCATGGTTGCGAGCAGGATGCAGTCATAACAGCTCCGCTCCTCATGCTCTTTCCAGGCCGAGGTCACCCGCGTCTTGGACATCTCAATGAACGTGGCAAGTAGCAGTGGTTTAGAAGATCGTGGCTCGGGCAACACGCTTGTGTACACATTCTTCACCTCTGGCACTACTGGGAAGCCCAAGGGTGTGATGGTGGACTCCCTAGCCTTGTCGCATGTACCTTTGCCCAGGGGGTCCCTTGCTTCATGCTGGATGCTTAGGTGGAGAACAAAGGGCTCGTCAAGGGCCAAGAGCCTCGCAGCCTGTGCAACCATCATATCAATTTGAAGGCTTATCATCTCTTCACGGCAACACCAAGGTTCATCGGATACACTGGTTTCAGCAGAAATGGCCCCTCCAGCGCGGAGAAGGTGTAGTTTCAAAGGCCGGTTTGGCTGCAAAGGAAGCTTCTGTTTCTTGCAGTTGTACAAGCATTATGACAATTGCGCGAACCATGCCTCACGTCTAACTGAAGCAAGGTTGCATACACATTTGGATTGTCTGAGTGGGAGATCTTTTGGCCGCTGGTGGCTGGAGCCACTCTCATTTTGGCTCCACCAGGCGCTAGCCGATCAGAAAGCCAAAGGCCGGACAACTTCTGTTGCGCTTGGCACTTCAGGTGGCGAAAAGGATGCGGACTATCTCCTTCGTCGAGCGTGCAACGCTTTCTACCCCCCCGAGCCCAAGGAATGATGCTGTCACTGTCACGTGCTTAGGGTCATACGTCTTCATACTGAAGGCTGCGCTTGGACCGTCCGCTTGCCAATGTTCACAGGAGAATGCGCGGCTGCTTCCTGGCAGAGGACCTTCTCCGACTACAATTCTCTGCGTTGCTGCCCACGTTTTTGTTTGGGACTTGGTGCCCATAGGTGTGTCTTCTCTAAGCCGGTTGCTTCGCTTGTTCTTCAGCTGCGCTGTGGTGACGCTGGTGGAGTGCTGGTCGTTGTTCATTGTTGTGGCCTTCTGAGGTGCCTTCCATGCTGCAGATGGTTCTGGACAAGTATGACGAGCTGGAGGACATTCGTGCCATGTTCTTCATGTTTCGGTAATCGAAAAAGCGGGCAAGCCATAGCCCTGCAAGGGAAGAAGCAAGGGACGCTTGGTGGGCTTTTTGAGTTTGTCGAACGGATTGGGTGCAGAGGGGACTAACTGTTTAACTGCCCGGAGAAGGCCGGCGCAACAGCTCCGTCCCTCAAATAGATGCTGCAGTGGTCGCCTCATCAACTTGCAGCTACAAATCATGGCAGCGCGTGTGGTGGGTCCATGCGGTAATCAGACAAGGGTGGCAGATTCTCATTAGCGTGCTGCACGGTTGAAGCTCAAAGAGGCCCCGCAAAGGCTGGTGCTTGCACGGCTTGCACCAACACGGGCCAAGGCTCAGGGTGTAACATTTCTTGTTGTGCCTACCAGGAACAGTCAAAGAGAACTGCCAAGGGTTCAGGTAACGAAACGCACAAATGTTGCGAACTGCCGAGCTTTCAACTAACCAGCCACGCATGTGACACATGCGCCCCCTGTGGTTCAGGAAGAAGACATGCAACGTAAAGCTGGTGAGCATCACTCAGAAGGTGTCTTAGCTTATCTTGTGGCATGCCCCTGGCACATGCTGGCTCTGTTTTTGAAAAAGCCGTCTGATGAAATATGATGGCATGCACCCTTGTGCATCTTAGGATAAGTCCTAGTGGCTTTGCGCATTGTACATTTCTGCCTAAAGTGCTTCTAGACAGCTCGCGTGGTGTGTAGTGGTGGTTCCAAGAAGAATGGTGCATAATGGTGCGATTGCGCGTCCTGCGCGGATTGCTGCGCTGTTTGCTGCAATGGTATTTGCTGGCGCTATCACCCTTTGCGCTGGCCGCCGGCTCTGTGGCTATGCGGTTCACAAGTGGTTCCGACGTCCCCCCCATCTGCGGCAATACTGTTTCAATGACTACAAGCTCAGAATAGCTCAGAGCAATCTGCATCTGCGCGCAGGGTTGGCATGATTGCGTAAGGACGCGTGGGTCGTACAGTCTCTGTCCTTCTTTCGTTCTTGCAAGTATATCACGTTTCGCAGTTCTCCCTGGCATTGTGGCTTTGAAGATTTTGGCCATGCTGAAAAGATGGAAATGGAGTGTGGCAGTGGCACGTAAGTGCCGAGTTCGGTCGGGCTCGTCAGCGCCGACTGATGCCAACCCTCACCCTACACCTCTAAATCCTGGTGTAAGTATAATGAGGATGTCCGAACTGGTCAGGCTGGGTCGGCGGTGCCTGCGCCGTCAACCCAGGCCGATAGGCCCTCAACGCCTGATGTGCAGCCATTACCTGGCCCAAACCCTCAATTCCGCGCTCTGCCCAAGCCCATGAACAACAGCGCTGGAAGGTGCATTTGCCCATGCTAGCAGACCCTAGCCCCAAACCTTTGCGCCTCCCGCAAGCCAACGCGCCTCGCCCATAGAAATGCCCCAGCGCCTACTGCTTGCGCCCAGTTGCGTTATAATCAGCCTTCGACGGCAGAGCAACGGCGCATGAAGCTCCGTTGGACTTGAAGATCCGATTGTTGGCTCCTGGAGTTTGGAGCTTGACGCAGCCTGTCAGCGAGTGGTGCGGGCCCGCCATCCGGGTGTTGTGCAGTTCTGGTGCCATGGCAACCGCCCCAGCCGAGGTCATCGTGCGGCTGCAATCTGTAGTGTGTGTGTGTCCTTCGAAAACTTTATTTACTCAAGGTTGTGGTGGTCCGAGTCCATCAATGTCCCCGGCAGGGATGAAACAGCGCCAGGCCACCCCTTATTATCCATTTTACGAGGAGGTCCGGTCTGTCACAGGCCGCGTGCCGCTCAAGCGGAAGCGCGCCGAAGGCCCCGCTACAGCCGGTCCACGGCCTAAGTAACCATCCGCGACCTCCTGACCCACAGACCGACCGGGAGTTCCTGCGTGGATTCCTGCAGGCCTACACTGAACCTGTGATTTCCAGGTCGCGCTAGGAAACTCCTGGCCCTTGGCGCTTTAAGTTGCGACCAGTGGTACCCGCCAGTGTCTTGCCACATAGGTTCGCGGCAAGGTACCGTCCTGATGCATTGCGGCCGATTCTCCGTGCGCGCAGCGGGTGGCTCCGTTCTTGTGCGCAGTGGGATCCCAACGAGATTGCTAGCTTTGACTTGTCAGGCCCGTTGAGTCGGCAGAGCGACGTGTGCATGGGCCCTCTGCCTCAAGTGGGCCTTAGAGCAACGGCAGTCGTTGGATCCCCGTCTCCGTGGGTGGCAGCGCCGATGAGCTTGCCCTGGTTCTTGAAGTCCGCGAAGACCAGGAATAGTGGACGTCGATGGCGCCCGACCACATGCAAAGTTTGTACAAACAGGGGTCTGAGAGCCTTGTGGCTTTATGGTGCAGCTCCTCGCGTTTGCAGTCCTGCTCCAGCTTTTCCAGTTTCCCGCGCAGGCGTGGGAGCAACCCGGACCGTTGACCCCAGGCACAATTTGAGCTGCAGTGGATCATGAAGGCTGTTCCCGAGCGCTGCCAGATGCTGACAGTTCGTAGCCCAGCCGAGTGCTGCGAGGTTCTTCCTGGAAAGTCCAAAGAATTGATTTGGCAGCACGCCGTGTTGCCATGTGGCGCCGCTGGTTCGGTTTGGGCCTATCTGCGCGTGAAAGATGCCATTTGTTTCCCGGGCATTGTACGTCTTGTCGTAGCTCATTTCGTGGATGACTCCTTCATGATCGAAGGTGAGTCGGTTATCGTTTTGCTCATTAAAGAAGTGCGTGCAGCCTTGGGGTTCCGCGTGAAGAAGGCCAAAGAGAAGCCGCCCGCAGCTACGCAAGGTCTTTTAGGTGTAGATGGTCAGTGACATGCAGCCAAGTGCAAGCATCATCTGCAAGGAATCGACCGCATCCGCAAGATTCAGCTGTTGATAGATGGCGTACTTGAATCTAGCCAACAGATGGCGGCCAATTCTCTGGTAGGCTCATTTTTGTCAGTTCCTGGGTAGTTGGTCAAGTAGGAATAGCTTTGTTGAAGCCGATGTACTCCAGACAGCATTGGCTCCCAGGTTCGCGCGATTTGTCCAAACCACTCCGGCTCGCGCTTGTTGAAATCCGGGGAGTGCTCGCTTCGCTAAAGTCTGTGCAATGTGCAGATTCCACTTCAGGTCGGTGCTAAGCGTGTGTCAGTCTTGTATGCTGATGCTTTCATTACGCTGCAAGGCGTGCGATGAGCGGCTAATAAGTGGTCTGCAGACTGCCCACCGTCAAACGTTTTGTGGGGCCCGTGGAGTCAGTGGCTAAGGGTGCGCTTTCTACAACCATTTTAGACTGGTTGGAGATGATGGCTCAGATCTTGTCCGTTGCGGTGGCTGCGCCTCATGTAAAAAGCCACCTCGTGTGCTTCATCAAGAACATGGCTTCGAGAAGGGTACTCTAAGAATGAAACCTTACCAAGACCCTCGCATGCTTTTGCGCATGGGTGGCGGGGAACAACATTCAGCTATCCTTCCACTGGGTGACGTGTGGCAGCAATCTCTCAGATAGCATTTCTCGAGGGTGCTGGGATGAAGCCGATTCGCTCGGCTGTCAGCGTTTTTGTCCCAAGTCCGCGCGCTTGTACAATTTTTTTTTGCATGTTCAGTGCGGCGAGAGTGCTAATCTTCGGGACCAGTTCTCCAAGCTCGTCGACGAGGTCACCGAGCGCAAGTCCACGAGCACATGCGCGCGCTTGAGTGGCGAAGTCACACTGTTCGGTTGGCTGGCCTGGAGGGTTGCCTGTCGGGCAAATGCCACAGCAACCCAGCCCATGGGAGGAGGCAAAAAGCCAGAGTCTGTGTGCAATGCGAGCTGCTAGGATTTGCTTGTTGTGCGTATTGCAGGAATTGAAGCGTATTCTTTGCTGTCGAGCGTGTGCGCATGTTAGCGAGACTTGTCCATGTAATGCACGTGTGCATATCATGGGACAAGTCGTAGCGGCTTTGTGCATTTTACATGTCCGCCTAAAGTACTTGTTGGCCGCTTGTGTGGTGAGCACTGAAAGGTCGAAAAAGCACCCCCTCCCACCCAACAAAGTTGCTCTGTTCTGTTGGCTGGCCTGGACTTGCCGGGCAGATGCTACAGCACCCCACGATGGGAGGAAACAAAAAGCCAGAGTCCGTGCGCAATGCGTGCTGGTAGTAGTTGCTTGTTCTGTGCAACGCCGGAGTTGAAGCGAATACTTCGCTGTAGTGTGTGAGCGGATGTTGGCGAGACTTCTCTGGTTCGGCCAAAATCACATATGAGTTGCTGTCAATTCTGTGCATGTCAAGGGCGGCCCTAGGGGTTCCTTATTCTCATGTGTTGTGTTTTCTCTTGGCATCCCATGTCCAGTGCTTGCATGAGACATGTTGATTGTAACTCGTTTGCAGGTCATTGTGCGCACCTTGAGCCCGGAGCTGCGAATTTCTTAACATAGCGACTGAGGCACATGGTGGCACCATTCCAAGGCCAGGGAGGTCATCACATGTGGCGAGGCTCTGAGCCCTGTACTGGCACAGAGCCATAGCAGAAGATGAGAGGAAATGATGGTGAAGGCAGCACTCGGCAAGTGAGACCAAAGTATGAACGGTCTGGAACAAAGGAAAATGTTTTCACGATTCCACTGTACACTTACGAATCTCTACGGTCCAACGGAATCTGGGACCTGATTCGCTCCCTCCTATTTCGTTTCATTTTTACTGAGTGCAGATGTGCTTGCATGCGTGGCTCCGACTTTGTTTGAGACCTCAGTTGCAGTCCGAGGAAGGGGAGATGAGCTATTGGGATGTTCCACAGGGCCGTGCGCTTCTGCGCGTCTCTGCTGGTCGCCCCATGGAAGGTTGCAAGGCTCCTGTTCATGTTTTGTGCCGTGCTTGTGCCAGCAGATGAAGGCGACTTTATAGACAACGCTACACACTGCAGGTGGTCCTCACGGATCTACGGGATCAGAAGCCTGCCGCAAGCCTGGAGCCTGCAGAGATCGCTTTTGGAGGGCCTTTCATTGCCCGTGGTTACCTGGGAAGGCCACAAAAGGGCCGTTTCGAAATGTTTTGGGACCTTGTACTTGTACTCCAAGCAACACTTTCCTATGACTTTTGTTTGTCGTTGTCCTGGTGGAATGAATAGGCCGGATCTGGATGCGAAAGCCTTTGTCAGCGACTTCACGGCCAAGCCACGCAAAAACATCTCGTCAAGTGGATCCTTGGCCGACTTCCGCTTTTGCCCATGCGGACTTTGCACCCTGTCTTTCAGATTGTGAGGACTAAGCACTTCAGAGGAGATTTTCAACGCTCCGCCGCTGGGAAAGACAGAGATTTGGCTTCATAAGAGATGATGTCATGTTTTCTGGATGTGGGGCCGATCGCAACGTAGCGCCATGCAGCAAGGTATCAAATGGCTCCAATGGATCGGATTCGCAAAAGCAAGCTGATCGTCTCTACCTGACAGGCCGGTCTTCACCATTGGAAGCCGGTAACTGGTTGGCTGCTACCACAGTGCCACCACTCACACTCATATTAGGGCTTTGGTCAAACCAGGCGATCTAGGTCGGTGGCGGGCCGGTGGCGTCATTGACTTGCTGGGCCGAAAGGACTTCCAGGTCGGAGTTGCTGCTATATCCCCCGGTGACAGAAAGCATGAATTTTGTTGCAGCCAGAGGTCAAGCTACGTGGTTTCCGCATTGAGCTCGGAGAAATCGAGGACGCGGGTTCACCAAGTGCTCGTATAAAGTGACAGACATGGAAGTCTTTTTTGCGTTTCCTATGCTGCCAGCTGCTACCATCTGCTACCGCTGAATTGACCTGCAGGTTCAGTTTCTGGCCAAATTGTCCAGTGCTTGCTCCGCATGCAGGCTGCATGTCGAGCAGCTGGCGCTCGAGCTTCCGTCTGCCTTCTGCGCAAAACCAGCAATGGCACACAAGGTCTAGTGGCCTACTATGAGCCAGGCCTGGTTTATGAGAGTGTCTCTGGGTGCTATTCGCAGAAATGCCGTTCACTGATTTTACCGAAAGGGCAGAAAAACGATGAACTAGAAGCTTGACAGGTCCAGACCAAGAGGTTCCAGAGACTGCAGTTCGAAAGTCCTGTCAGAAGTCGCTGCCGCCATACATGCAGCACCTTGCATGCACCGCTTGCTATCTTGGGCATGGGCTGCTAGTTTTCCAGCAGGTCATCGTGCTTAGATACCAATGGAGGAGTGGACAAACGTATCGTGCGGTAGATCACGACGTAGCGTGTGGTAAATGAGAACGTCGGCGGCTGTATGCAAAACCTTGCTAAAGCAAGGCAGTCCTGGGCAGTTGGGAAGTTGCGCTTGATTGGAGCCAACAGTTGAGGCCACAAAGCATTGTGCGCATGGAGAAGCTTCCCCGGAACACCAATGGCAAGATCGATCGGAAGATGCATCCCTGCTGCACCCATTCACAGTTCAATGGAGCTAAGCAAGAAGGTGCCGCTGGGAGAGAGCAATGTCTATGGTTTCTGCAGTGCAGCTATTACAATTATTATATTATTTGGAAGAGTATCAAGGCTTCCAGAGCCTCCGGCGGTGGTTGCAACCCAGACAGAAGAGGCTGCTCCAGAAACGCCCGTGAGAACCTCAGAGAGCGATACGGAGGATGCAACGCCTCATTCAGGGCCTAAAGAGTTGGCAGACTAGCCAGGTGCAGAAAATGACAGCGGCTGCAATTGCTCTCGTACTAGGCAAGACCTCATTTCAGGAGATGGAAGCGGAATCGTCCATACATTCCCTCTGCATTCTGAGCATAGTAGAGACAGCATGCCAGTTTGCTTGCCAAGCAGACTCCCCGTCAACAGGCCTCCCTGTAGAGACCGTGCAGCTGGACTCCGATTTTCAGGAGTTGGGAGGAAGTGTGGAGCCCAGGCTTCAGAAAGATTCCGCTTGATCAAAGCCTTGCATCAGCTTTGGATGTTGGAAACGTTGGCCAAGATAGCCTGCTGATGGGCCGTGCCAGCTCTGCCATCAAGAAAGCGTTTGGCCTGACGACGTTTAAAGGCACCACGGTCTACCAGCTTGGTACCGTTCGACGCCGCCTGCTTGCAAGATGTTTAGACATGATTGATGCCAAAGCAGGCTGAAGTGTGGACCGTCGCTGACGACGAGCCCCCACTCAACATGCCCGCCGAAGCCCAACTCAGGTATCGCTGCTGCAGTCGAGACTCTGCTCTCCAAGCAAGAGGCGGATGCAAGCCCACTTCAATCAGAGCCGTCAGGACCGGGCTGCAAGAGAAGTGCTGACAGAACATAAAACAGTGTGCGCTGAATTTCTGTAAGCTTCTCACCTGAGTGACCGCGCCAAGACCTTCTGCATCAGGAGCTTTGGCACTGCAGCCTCAAAGGTCACCCTTCAGCTCTACTTCCTGGCCATCTTTGTTCATACAAGGCATTAGCGAATCTTGCCAGTGATTCGGCAATTCCCAGACCTCATTCCGGAGCTGCTGAAGTCATACTCTTCTGACGGCGCAACATGGCGCATCCTGTTGTGGCTCCTGAGGTGTTTTGCATGAACTTCTTGTTCCAGAGCCAGGCAAGCGCTGCCTTCGTAGCTGCAAATTGCTATAGACAGCCGGTCAAACGCATTTACACCGATATGCTTACCATATCTTACCATGATAGTTCAGGCATGGTCGCCGGTTTGGTGGGCAGCGTGGTTCATTTACGAGCTGCTTGGCAGCAGGAAGCATGTAGATGAGCTTGGTCATCAAGGCTGGTATCGTCAATTGCAAGACTGTGATTGGTGAGCTAGCGAGATCAGAAGTTGCATTCCGCAGCAGGAGGTCTGAAGAGACACGGCCATGAGTGCTGCTTCTGCTTGCTGAGGTATCATGGGCGAACTGCTCTATTCTTGTACCTACCTCTTGCTGCTCTCCTGGATCTTGTGCCCGTCTGAGAGATGGGAATGAAGAAATGTACGTCACATTGAGCAGTGCTGTCTGACGGTGTCCATGCTTGTCTGCCCCTGTAAGATGTGTTTCAGCCTTGTTGCGCTCTCGGGTTCATTGCTGACCTTATGGATGCACTCGACAGGTGATGATGTTTTCTGCTGTGGTTTTGCTGAAGTGGCTGGTCGTGGGGCGCGTGAAGCCAGGCATTGGTGGGAGGTTTTGAAAGTGTGCAATTGGACACGTCAGCTGAGAGAGCATCCCAAAATAACATATCTCATATAGCCACCTCAGACACATTTCACGGTGACCAAAAGAGCCCAGTACTGCCAGGTACCATGCACCTCTGGTCTGCAGAGCCTTGGACGCTGTTAAGCTGAGCAGATGCATTGCCCGCACATCCCTGACTGAAGACCTGCGTCCTGGAGGATTACTACAGATGGTGGTTTGTTAACACCTTGCTGAACCACACGCTGAAGATGGCAATGCCTTTGGTTGCTGACACCTCAATTGCCAGCACTATTCTTCGAGCCTTAGGCGCACCCGCATGTGCTATGTGAGTTGCAGAAGCACGGAATTTCTCTCACATAAGGAAATCGCATGCTGGCGCCAACCTTGTTCAAGACTCTAGATTTTATACATGATGTAGAGACCCTTTCCAGACCAGATGAGTCAGCTCCACAGATAACTTTGGATTCAAGGTAGCGTTGGCTGGAAATGCTGTGTTACGATGAGGTGTTGAGCCAACCTGGCAGGTGCAAAGGTAGGCCAAGGGGCCAAGATCGGAGTGTTCAGCGTACACGACCCTGACCTGCTTGAAATTGGGGCATATGCGACAATAGGAGCCTCGGCTGGCAACGCACTTGCAGTGGTAGGCAGACAGCGTTTGTTGTTCCTGGGGCTTGGGCACATGCCAAAGTCAGCGGTCTTGTGAAGTGTTTATTTTGCCGCGGTTACATGAACGTACTGCTCGTGCGCACCAATCTCACCATTGTACTAGGCAAGAAAGCCAAACTGGCTACATCCAGCGCTCTTCACGGCAAGATCCATCTGGGCCCGATCCAGATAGGCAGCGCTTGACTCTCCATCCTAGTCGTACTGGCGCCTGCTGGGTGGCCAGGTGAGAGGGCAGCTGTCGGCCCAACTGCGGTTCTGGCTCAGGACCTGGCAAGTCTTCAGGTGTTCGAGGTTGGGATGTGTTGGCCACGCGCGACAGTGCGCTCGCGGGAACGGAGGGCGTATCTCCTGCTGCTTCTGCTTCTGCTTGTTTTTTCTTGGTCTCCCTCTCTCTCTTTCTCTCCCTTTCTCTTTTGCTTAGAAACCCGTGCCCTCGCATCCATTGCAGCTTGCAAGGACACGGTGGTGCCAGCTGGTAAAGCCGTTCTGCCACTTTCGACGATGCCAGGCGCACCAAGCATCAGCCTGATTCGAGCATCTGCCTTCTGTTGGGCTTTCGACACAGGGCAGTGTGGGGGCTAAAGGTCTGAGGTGAGTCAAGCTTACAGCTCCCCAGTCAGTCCCGCTTCGCAACGCTGACATCATGCTTGAGCTTGCCTTCCAAACAAGCATGGAAGTCGGCAACTGAAAGCGTTATAGCATGGACACCTAATCGAATTCACCGTCCGGAGGGTGGCATGGCCCAGTGGGCTCCGTGGCCTATCAAGACACGCAGCCGCCACGCACCTCAGAACCTCAGCTGGAGAGACGTCGAATCGGGATGTGAGCAGTTCCTGGACTCCTGGACTGGGTTTGCGATCAGGCTGAGTTTGACCGGCGACAAAATCTTCTTCGCCTCGTCTTTGGCATGCCAATGGTCCTCATGGGCGAAGTCATTCCGTGACTTTGCAGTTGAACGTAAACAGATGTAAGCAGCAAACATTTGTAGCCCATCGCCCCAGGCCAGAAAACTTTAGCCAGAGAGAAAGGGGTGCTTCATGCTGGTTGTTGATGGGTGACGTTTCAAGTCATGGAGGCAGTGACATGCATCCTCGGTGCATCATAAGTGCATAATCAGAGGAAGGCGGCTGTTACAGGCAGAGATGTAATGTGCCGTGAGCTCTGCTGAGCCTGAAGGTACTACTTGACGTACTTTGTGCTGGTATGGACATATGATGGCCTGTATGCAAGCGACAAGTACACGGCGTTTGCGATTTGGAGTGTGCTTCTGTCCTGGATCTATGCACATCCAATGTGGCTCCCCTTGCAGCACTCAGGACCATTAGTAGCGGCAGATCCTCTTTAATCCTTTCCACTTAGTCTGTGCATGGTCTTTCAGCTGCTGCCCAGGTTCTTCCGGCTGGCTGTGGTCATTTTGCAGAAGCGTCTGCTGGTAGGCGCGGTTTAGCGCAGCGGTGCATGCGGCACCGAAAACTTCATGTTACGACGTTTGAGCCTTGACTCGTGCCACCCTCCACCGACCAGGCAATTTTCGCAAGCAGGACCATCGCGATATCAGTCACTGGAATGAGTGGAAGCACTGGGTACATGCTCGCGCCGTCGAGTCTCATGACTTCGAGGACGGCAGCGCTCGTAATTGGATGTGAGTTATAAGCCTTGTGAGCGCTGTGATTCTCTGGCGGCTGTTCTCTCCAAAAAGGGGTCATGGCGACTTTGTTGATCTCAGGGCAAACTGCTGGGCACTTGGAAGCTTGACATTCATGATATGTGAAGAGGAAGCCTGCGAGATGTTCACGAACACAGAGATGCTTTCATACATTTACCGTGCTCTGGGCACCAAAGTTGGGCGGCGAGTTCAGATTGATCAGCCGCTCAGTTTCTCCAGAAGGTAGCACTTGCACTGGACTACTGTTAAGTTGTGCTGTGAATCTCCATTTGATGCATGTGCTGCAGCCAGTTTGCAAAGGCTGAACTTTGTTGAGCACGACTGCGTCACCATCGATGACTACGTTGTGTTTGGTAGTGAGGTCATGCTGTACACAGACACGCGGGCACCCTGGGTGCCCGAGGAATACAACAAGAAACTGCAAAAGAAGAGAGGACTCACACATGCCAGTTCCTGCTAATCTGAAATGCGTGGCGTGCCGGTGCAATTTTGGGGATGCACGGCAGGATCGCAGCAGCGCTACGCAGACATACACATCTGCCAAGCAGCTAACGTTCTGGATCACTGCTCGTTGCTTCCTGGGGTGACGGTTGCGGAGCGTGCAACTTGTCCGGGGCAATTGAAATGTTCGCCAGTGCGCAGGCATTCGCACATAGATGTGAAGCATTGTGAAGTGGTCGGATCGCCATATCTCAGGCCGTGCTCGGCACGTGTACGCTAGCTGCTGCAGGTAGTTTCCTGGCCCCAAGTCACACACAATGGGATTTCGACACCGTTTTCGGCTTGAAGCTGAGGCTACTATCCACCGCTTGCAATCCATTCCGGCAGCCAGCGAGGCAAGCCAGCCTGCGAAACTCCAAGAAGATTGGCAGAATGTGTATTTTTCGTCGATGCAAGGCCGCTCTATGCATTTGCGGGATTATTTTGCCTCTCCAGCGATGAGGGTCACTTGGCACTGATGGTCAACAGGTGTCGGCGAGCTTTTTCTAGATAGGTCGTAGTGTAAGTCATGGGTGGCCGACGTGTGCTGCCAACAATTTTCATGTTGATTTCTGCCCAGAAGCGCGCAAGATGAATGCCGCGGGTTGTTCTGTTGCGCCTGGCCACATCCAGGATAGGACACCCTGAAAGAAACTTCACGAACCTGCAGGGGGCATACAGACTTCTCCGAACCAAGCTGGACCAGAGCAAACTTTAAGCAGCAAGCCCAGCGAGCCTTGATGAGGTGGGCACTGGCCGGTTTTCGCTTCTGCTTTTGTTGGCAGGTGTCCTAGTTAGGCAGTTGATCTGGAGACTTCGTGCATGCTGAGGCACTGGAAGACAAAACTATGCAAGATCTGGACAGTCCCATCACTTGGTGGAGGCAGGGCATCAACGGCAGAACCGATGCCATTCGGCCTCAAGCCAACAGTTGCGTGATGTGAATCAGGTTCAATCTGATTATACTTCTGGTGATTCTGACGCTTGACTAACAGTGCATG